ATTTTAAGTTTATAATGTCACTTGACATTATAATCATAACATTTTTGTTATGAAATTTATATGTTTAGGACTTTTTTTTTTTTTTTTTCTTTTTCCCCTTGAACAATCTCACAACTTTCTTCCTGATCTAAGTCTAGAGAGCAAAAAAAATTTATAGTTTCAATCCTTTTTCTTCAACAGTTTATGCATAGAGGTCTCTTATAAAATGTTCTACTAGTTAGGAACTAGAACCTTTCATGTTGAAAATTTTAAGTTTAAATTTTAAAAGAAGTGAGGAGGAGTCTAGAAATGAAAGGATTGTTCTATATTGTTTAACTCATTATCTAATTTCAAAAAAAAAAAGAAAAAGAAAAGAAGAAGCTTATGCATAGGAGAAAAGGCCAAACGAGGCAAGTGAAGTTGGCATAACCCCCTAAAAGCACTCAATCTACTTGTCTTTATGACCATTAGCCATTAAATATATACTTTATATACTTTAATGGATAAATTTTATGTTATTATTGTAATTGATTAAAAATAAATAAAATTTCATGTGAGTCACATCACCGTCTCTATTCGATTATTCTATTTTCATTAGTGTTATACTAACATAAATATGGTCAATTTTAAATCATATAATTTGCTATTATAATGTACTTTTACAATACGAAAAATTTTAATTATTTAGTAACAAGTGTTGTAATTTATTTTTTCTTGTATGATTAATTATTTTTATTTAGGAGTTCATTTATGATATTTTATATGTGTATTTATTTAATAACATATTATAATTATAAATTTATTTTTTATTTAAAGATTTTTTTAATATTATATGTATTTACACATCATAATAATAAACTTATTTTTTATTTAAAATTTTATTTGTAATATCATATATATTAATTTATTTAATATGTATTATAATTATAATTTTTTAATTTTATATATGATGTTATAATTATATATATATTTTTTATTTTAGAAAGACAGATCAACACGGCTAAGGAAATACAGATCAGCAGACGACGCGGCAAACCACGAAAAGTTGGCTGCCTAGTTCACATTAACATAGTCGCTGTGTGCATGTGTGTGTATAGTTGCCCAAATACAAAACCAAGTCAAAAGTATAAAAGGATAATTTTTTAATATTATTTTTTAATATAATTTTATATATTATAAAATAAGTGAATATATTTTATATTATAAAATTTACGTAAGTTAAAAAAATTAATTATTTAAATAATATATCAAATTATAAAAAAAAATTATAATCATTTTTCAATAAAATCACGTGGTCCAAAAATATCTTTTATTTTGCTAAAAGTCGTAAGAGAAATAATTAAACCGTAACGAGAGTTGCTTTGCATTCGACGCGGGCAGCCGACCCAGGCCCATACCTCCACTAGGTAGAAAAACTCTCATTATAAGGAAACAAAGACTTTCTTCTCTATATGAACTCCCCTGGGCCCTGAGGAGACGAACTTCCCATGTTCGGCCCTGCTTCTTATGGAAGAGTAGGTGAAGTTCACCCACGTTTGAGTCTCTTTGTTTACTGAATACTGAATAGATATTAATTTTTAATAATTATTTTTTTTAAAGGAAAGAAAGAAATTTTCACTATATATCTGCCCTTTCGTTTCTGTCCTCCAATATCCCTTCTCCACTCTTCTATTGATTAAGCCCTTCTTTTTCTTTCAAGATATCATCATGAGTTACGGCCAAAGTCAGCAGCGGGAGGTTGCCTACCCTCCACCTCCGCCATCTACTGCACCTCCTGCTGCTTTCCAGCCGCCGCCACCGCCAGGTTATCCAACCATGGATGTCCAGCAGTTTCCCCAAAATCATGCTCCAGTGGAAACTAAATCCAGGGGTGATGATGGATTCTGGAAGGGATGGTGAGTTAATTTCTTTTTCTTTTTCCTTTTTTTCTTTCATCCTTCCTTTTTATCCAGAATATAGTTAAAAAAATTGTTACTAATGTAATAATTTCTTCTTGGTGCAGTTGTGCTGCCTTGTGCTGTTGCTGTGTCTTGGATGCATGCTTTTGAAAAGGATTTTGAGAGAATTCTACAGATTACATGTATGGAGAGAATTCCTGATCAGTGTTTAATTTTAATTATAATAAATTGGATTTTACAAATATTTATATTGAGATGGCACAGTGTTATTTTCTTATCTACATCTTTTTTTATTGATGCTATATATAATTAAAATTCAATGTTTTAGTTACTTGTTTGTTCTTATTATTACTCCCTCTTTCCATTTTATTAGGCTTTTAAGGAGAATTTGTTTTTTTTGTTTAATTTTAATTGTCATCTATAATTTTCAATACTACAACATATGATCAAAAAAAAGAAAAATTCAATACAACATTAATTAACTATCTTCTCTTCTTATTATACCCTCCAACTTTAATTTTCTTTTTAAGAGGGAAATTTGATACTTTAAACATATCTATCTCTAAAATTAAAACCTGTTTATTACTTTATTTTCCTTAATCCTAGTTCTTCTTAATCGTAGTTCTTCCTCTCAAAATGTTAAATTTACAATAATAATATGCTATAATAGGTTCCTTAATTTAAAATAGTATTATCTTTGTAAACATACAACTCATTCTTGTTATTACTAGTAATCAGTTTAATTTTGGATCTTATGACATTATGGATATCTTCACTTACAAAATTTTAAGTCAAACGAGGCAAGTAAGGTTACCAACTATTGTATTGAATTCTAAATTAAGGTCACTATTTCGAATCATTCATGGAAATTATCAAATAAAATTATATTTAAAGGAACCCATATTCAGCTCATGAAAAAAAAAAAAGAAGAAGATAAGAAACCTATATTAAGGGGTATTGGGTTTAATTTTTTAAAAAACAATTGTCATTTGTTGATTTTTAATCGAACATATAAATTATAAATAAATTAACAGTGATTATCAATCACAAAATTCAGGCAATCCCTAACATTATAGTAAGTATATCACTCTCGTTCTTTTACATCACACACCAACTAGATAAAATAATTGCGTCAAGGCTTTTTTTCAAATGCTGTCATTTCAATATCAATAATAGAAAAGGATTCTGAATAAAAACAAAAAAAAAAAAAGTTTTAGTCTTTAAAGTGCCCATCAATACCTTTGAAATTTATGGATCATACAGCACATCCCCTTCATCTTCCCGGTTCCCCCTCCTCTCTAATATGCTCAGAAGTGAAGAATTCTATTCAACATGTTTTATTCTTTGATTTCATTACAATTATATACAAGTGAAGGTTATGTAAAGGAAAATGATTGGCCACACTTGGTTTAATATATTTTTCGGTATTTATCTCAGTTTAATTATTATAATATGATATAAATATCATTAATTTAATCAGTTTTTACATCATATATACATGATTATATTATTAAATTTATATTTTTATAATTTTAAATTAAAAATATAATTTTTTAATAAATATATTACATAATATATTAAATTAAAAAATATATATCAATAAATATCTTTGTATGTAAAACATATAAAACAATATATGAAAAAGGCCTATTGGACTAACTAGTCAAATTAAAAAAAAAAAAGAAAAGCAAACAACCACTTCCTTATCGGTGTGAGGGTTTGAACACCATTCTCCCTCCCACTAAAAGAGTTTGAGAGTTTCAAGCAACTGGCTCTATCTTATAAAAAAATAAAATAAAATAAAATAAAAGAAAATAAAAAAACAAAGATAGAAAAAAGAAAAGGACAAACGATATCATAATCAATTTTCCTATTTAAATCTCTATTTGATTTTAATCCTTTCTCTCGTAAGGGTTTTATGAGAGCAAAATTATAAGTCACATATCACACAATGACCTATGGTAGAACACGACTCACTCAATCCTTGTGTCATGTATTTTTGTGTAATGTCTCTGCCCTGCAACAAGTGGAAAATCTAGGCTTCTGGTGGGTAACTTTGATTCTAGTTCAGATATTCTTCTAGCATCACGCTTCCGTCAATCCTTGTGTCATGTATTTTTGTGTAACGGTCCTGCAACAAGTGAAAAGTCAAAGTTCCTGGTGCGTAACTTTGATTCTAGATGGTTGCCATTCGCCTGTGTTTCAATTCATTCCCATTTTCATAT